GCCTGGGCTAGGAAAGGACTTTGGATCTTGTTACACTGGGCGTTCAAGCTAGGTATATAAATCTACTGAGACAAGTCCAACCTTCCTGAGTTTTCCTGTCATTTCCTCCCCTTCACCTTGATGGGGGGGCCCAGAAAGACTGGGACCAACTTGAATACATCAACCAACAGGCCTGCGTAAAGGTATATACACTGGTTCCTTAATATAAATGGGAAACGTCCTGGCATATCTGCCTGCCTGTCTATAAGGCTTCATTTCCAACTGGATTTGTGACAAAAACCACCTTCTCCTCGAAGAGACTCTACATATATGTACTTCTGGGGACAGCAAGATTACAAGTGACGGTTGTTATTACCATCTAAAAAGCAACATCAAATATGATTGTACCAGTCTAAGTCCATGTAAAAACATCAGATTTCAGATACTTTGAAGGAGGACTTAAATTAAAAGGAAGTTTAAATGCTCTTGTCATTTACTATACATGTACATGTTGCTAAACAGGAGACAACGGGACTTTTTAGCCAACAAACATCACTTAACAATCAGGAGACACCCCCGTTTTCAGTGAAACAGATTCCCAATTTGAGCAGGATTTTTTTCATCCAGCAGGCAGGTAGGGCGAATTGATAACACGCAGACACAGTGGCGCTTCATTACTGCAAAATGGTAACACAATCTCCGTCCTGTACAAAGGGACCAGCGCTGCTACACGCGCAAGGACGAGCGGGAGCATACGACAGTGACACATTTCTTCATTATCATCTCGTATGTGGACAGCCAGCCGGCCAGCCAGCCAGCACGCCAACCCAACTCCATTACAGGAGGCATCGGTTCACTGAGGTAACTGACTGAAAATAACCCTGATCTGGAAATTCATGGATGCTGGATCGAAGAGCCCAATCTTGGGGTGAGGATGGACGGTCCGTTGGTCGCTGGAGCCAGGATGGCAATATCTTCTTGGCCATCCACAGTTCAATGGCCTCTCCAGTGTGCGTGCTTAAACACTGGCTGAATACATTACTCTGACTGAGGGGATTCCTTGAGGTTTCCCCGATATTACTACAAAGGTTAGAGCAGACTGTCTCCATTTATACATCATATACAATCTGTCAGGAGGTCGAGTGGAAAACAATCAGCCTGATCAAACATCAATAGTGCTGGGCAGCAGGATTAAAAAAAAAAAAAAACCAGAAAAGTTCTTTGCAATAAAATTCATAAACCCTGCATGTGAATGCTCATGAGCAAGCTCACTTTATTGGGTACACGTCTCTAGTCTTAGCCTTTTGGCCACAACAGCCTACATATATGACATGTCACAACCCGAGAGAGGAATACTGCTGTATTACTAAACAAGGTCCTGAAAAGACATCAGCTTGAATTTAAATTCACTCATTAGCTCAAACAGAGGCAAGTGCTGTACCCGTACAAATGTTTAGAACCCCAAGATGTAGTTCCCACATTTACTGTGTAACTTTACTGGTACATACCCAGTGGCCTGCTAAGGATCTCACACATGTGTGTACCAATTAATTTTGGCCTATCCTGCAAAAAGAACAGGGCATTCCAAATGCACTGCAAAACGGAAGGAAATTTTTCTACGCTTGGGACGTTCTTTCAATTCTAGGGGTCCATGTTTTTTTCCTCATATTTTTGTCAGTTGAAAAAAAAGTTTTGTAAAAAAGAAAATACATGTGGAAAACATTTATAAAGGTAACAAGGCAAGCAAATTAAGTGGTGCAGTGTTGAGAGAATGATTCAGCTGTTCTGAATTAACTTTTAATCTCATTAGTTTGAAATAAATCAAAACAAACTGATCTTTGGCACAAAATGAACAAAATTTACGCCCTGCATGGCTATCAATCCTAGTTTTTGATTCAAAGATAGGCCTACGTCAACTCAACTTCTGTGACCAAACTCTGCCCCATCAATTGTTCTGCCTTGTGCTGGCTGATTTATTCCCTGGCAATTCAATTAATCTCATGAACTCTCCTTCTGTAACCACAGACATGTCTGTTGTGCCTAAAACATGGACACCAAGCATTTAATACATTTTTGTAAATTCCATGTAATGTTGGAAATTACTGTCCACATTTTTTCTCCAAAATTGAAAATATTATCCTTTTTATAATTTTTTGGTTATTGGGCTGACATGGTCAACAGTACTAAACTGATTTTTTCCTCTATGGGGTTAGGAGTCAGAAACAGGTTGGTCAGAAATGGGAACCACAAAGGGCATCCTAAACACAATTCTACCATCTCTGTTTATGGCATACAACGAGACCCATCTACTAGTACTGTTACTTTTCCTTCTTTTGAAAGCTTTGTTCTTACACTTCTAAGCAACATCTTTAAACTGACACAAATGATGTGCAATACATAAGTTGCCAACTACGGAGAGGTTTCCTAACAAGGTTCTTTTGTTCTCTTAAAATTCTTTTGTTCAGCATCTGCTCTTGTAAAGGTAAATACGTAGATGTTTGACAAATGTATAAGCACAAAACAAAGAAACTTGGAAGCACTGACCAAACAGCCGTAGGAACTTTCTAAAGGGTCGCCTATTCTTGTTCCTTAGTTGCAAGGAGATACACATGAAATCTCACCTACTAGTATTTTGTGGGGCCCAAAAACGTTATGGGGTCAGTGAAATGTTCCCACAACTCGGTCCACATTTGCCAAACAAACTAAATTGTCCTCTTAACCCTGGGAAGGCCAACAAGTACGAAATGGTGAGTGTTATTCCAGTAAATAAGGGAAAGTGTGGTCCAATCATTTCTAGAGTCTACACAGAAAAGGGACTCAGTGCCCAGGTCTTGGTACATTACATGTGCATCCATGTAGCAAGTGTCTCCATTGACTGTGGCAAAAAACAAACACCCTGTTGCACTTCAACAACTGTGTGGCACCCTTTCAACTTACCTGCCACGATGACAACATTTGACAAGTGGACCCAACTTCGTACAGTCTTCACATGTATATGTACTTCAGTTAACCCAAATGTTGCCTCCTCATTCTAATTTCAAGTTCTCCTGCTTGTGAATGCAATCGGCAGAAAACAGTACTCATACTGTACCCGGTACATGTCATCTACCGTTAGTGTGTATCCAACCCGAGCAGGACCAAGAGAGGGCACCATTTTCCTAGTAACGGGAGGCTCCTTTGGAGAGAACTGCACTTCACTGGTTCAAAAGCAAAACTCCTTGTGTAACTTACAGTTGTGTGGCTACCAACAAAATGAACACACCCCACCAACATGGCTCATTTTAATCGACGTGGAGGATGCTTCTGCTCAAGGTACATGTATTATACAACACCTGAATAAATCCCAGTCATCTAATTGGTGGGTTGTTGATCATGTGTCATAGATTATTGTTATAATCAATGGCGGGACTGTTGGCCATTCACAATGATTAAACTGTTGTACTGCACGCAATCACAGTACACATACTGTACATGTGCATGTAGTTGCCACTCTCCACACACAGACAGAATGTTGCATGTCGTGCGTGCACATGGTTTATATATTTTGACGACTCTAAACACAAAACACACAAATTCGGGGGCAATATCAATAAACATGAAGCATCGGTAACAATTTACAAGTATCTTCTGTAAGAGGAAGACATTTCTGAACTCATGAATAGGCCTAATGGTTATGCCTTCTAACAGAAACTAAACATGTTATCAAACAATTAAAGTGAACTGTGAGACACAAACGATCGTCTACATGAACTAAGATGGAACGTAAAAATATTTTGTCGCTTTTACTTAGGACTGACAAAGTAAAATAGCAACTTATACACATAGTTTTCAAACAATTTATTCGGGTGTTGTACATGTATAAAAACTGAGCACTCACTCAAGGAAGTCTGAAAAGAAAATCTATGATGTTCAAACTGGACTTTCTCCAACTTCTTGTCAGCTACCGGCAGTTGGTCCGATGTAAAACATTAGTGGCAAATCTTCTTGTCTGTGATTACTGCTAGATACTCAGGACTATAAACTGTGTACAAAATACTGGTACACTATACACGCAAGTGACAAAATGAGAAATCAAAAGAAACTTATCATCTCGCCATCACAGGCATCTGTGTGCGGTGAGGCTTACTGCGTATATCACTCCCAGGCATGCAGTTGCAGATCGCTTGCACATGACAAAATCTCCAAAAGGCTGCAGACGTTTTACGGAACTATTCCAGATTTGAGATTTAAGTCTGGTATTACTTGGCTGAGTTTGAGTGGCACACACATGTATATGCTGGTAAAAAAGACTTTCCCCTTTTATCTATTGGTGCATACATGTACATGTAAGTCAAGAACGTGAGTACACGCATCCACTACTAATGGATCACAATACCCATCCATCTCTGCAAGCTAAGCAATACATTCCTACATGGCTGCAGGGTAAAAAACAATGGAATGGGGCATGTTTCAACTGGCAACCCATGCGTATCCATTGCAATATCACGGCCAGAGAAGCTGAGCCTATTACCACGGCTACGCTCTGTATCGGAGACCTTTCTACAGTGGGTCTCATTATATCAAGCCAAACGAAAACAATCCAAAAAGCTGGGACCCGTACCGGTATGTTTGCCGCAACCATCATTTCAAAAGTTTCCCAATGTACATGTAAGAAACCAATGTTCAGTTTGCACCAGCAAGACTCATCAAGATCAGTGTAGACAGACAATTTCTTAAGTGCTCAAAGGCGACCGGCTTGTGTCATAATCTTTCTGTTCAAACTTTAAGCTTTGATCCATTCTTCTACACGTACATTATCTGTAAATGTTAATGCACACAGATGCTCTCTTCCATGTTTTTCTAATTGCACATGTACTTAATGCCCCTTGAATCAACCGCATGAAGTGCCGGTATGCACATACAGCTATCAAATTTCAGATCTTACCAACGGAAAATTTGTTCTAAAAACCTGCTGTGGAATTTATGGACATGTGTACATGTTATTTTAAGCAATCCACATCAATAAATGATTTCCAACATACCTGTTATTACAAATGGACAGGTAATCTGATCGTCGCTTTTACCATCAGCCTGGGCATCCAATCCAATATTCACACTTGCCTTCCTGTGTAAGATCAATAACAAATTGAACAACCAAATTACAAAAGTACTGACTTGCACAGTAATGTAAGCTCTCGGCCTTAAAATGCATTAGACAGATGGAGATCAGTAAAGGATAGCCTATCCAGAAACCCTGCACAACTTCTGCAATTTGTACATGCCAGTTGATCCAAAGTTTCCAGTTAACCCTCCAAATGTGTACGTGAGCCGTTATTTCCTTGAAGTGTTACCTAACAATTTAAAAGATCAACCGGAGAATGAATTTTGAACACTGCAGACACTCATTTGGTTCCTGTGCATTTTGACCGCACTCGGTTGTTACTTAGAGAATTATTTTTTTAAAAGGAAGTCTCCCACTTAAAATGGACTGCATGTTATCTGTCATCAAAATCCACAAACATCAGAATCTGTCCAAGAAAACAAGCAAACCAACCAAAGCATGATACGTGTACGTATGCAATGTTCCAGTATTTAAGGACTTTGCTTTGGTGCAGGTCTGTCAAGAAGTAAGGTTCGAATTGACAAGTGAGCAGCATTTAAAAAAAGAAAGACTTCCTCAAGTATGATTTTAAAGGTGACTTTTGGGTGGGGGCTGGAGGAGAGGGAGGTAAGTGAATGACGTTTAATATATGCCATGGCATTTCAAACAACAACTGAAAGTTCTGCTTAGAATTTTTTTCCATGACAGAGATATAATGCCACTAGGCTTGGATGGTCATGCATCTTTTATGTCAAGACAGTTGTGCTTAACTTTCGGGATATTCACTTAATACGGCGGTTCTCCTTGACATTGGGTATTTGCAGTGGTGATAAGTCAATGTTCACTAGGATGCCAACAAATACGAGCCAGTGTGAAGGTTGTTGTCAAATCCCCTAAACTGAAGAGGTATTATCATTTATCAGTCCATTTATATTCAAATAAATATCCTTCGTGTCATAGAATAATTACACAATCAAGATTGGATTTGCTAATTTTTGAGGCAAGAATGATGCCGTGTTCCAACACGGGAAACTTTGAAATGAAAATAAAAGGACAACTACTTGGGTTCTGACTGCGACAAAACACAGCCCTGTAAAATAATGTTTGGGTTTTCAAATCAGACACTATTACCCACACCAAAACTACAAACACAATGACTGCAGTTATAAGAACTTCAAAAGCGTTTGGCTGGTGGGTTGGCAGCTGCTTAAGTTTCATGTTACCAAGTCAAGCTGGACAATTACATCTTATCTCTCCACTATAAGGGGCAACGTAGACATGACACTGGATGACTTGTACCGTACTTCTAAGAATGGATTGAAGTATGACAACATGGTAGTTAACCTTTATGTTAAAAGAGCTCTGCAAATATACCAGGCACATTTGCAAGAATACCACGGTATTGAAATTCAATACCCAGTTTGCCGGCGTTTCAGTATTTATGGATCATCAGTCTGTACTGTTCAGTATTGAAAAAATACCACCCCTATCCGGTAATACCAAAATACCGTCCAAGCCCGGATGTCACACAGGTAAACTTACTACAATACATCAAGGTCTGCCTAGCCCTTGCAAACTCAAGTAATCAATTACTTCAAGAATAATGTACAATGTACATGTACTGTAAATGTATACAGTATTATTAGCATGACCACCAGCTGGGTCCAAGAAGCCACCACTGTGGCGGCTTCACGCTCAAGTGCACGAACTTAAACAAGGCACGCGCCAGCAGTTAGGCACATCACAACACCCTACTGGTCAAGGTATTCAAAGCAAGCGTAGCCCCTGTCCATGAGCACGATTCCAGCGCAGTGACAGGTTCTGATTCTGTTAGCTGAATCAGTCTACAGTGCCACTGTCAAGGTCACATCCTCCATGGAAGCATATGACACAGCAAGCACTGTATGGATTATCAATAAGCAAAGACAGCATGAATTTCTTTCACTCATTAAGTACACACTGATGTTCCACAACCCTGACATTGTATGTTTTCTACCGATATGTATCATTATCAAGTACAGGCACTGCACATGTGCATTCATAAATCACTAAGTACGAGCACATAACTGCAAAGAATATCGGTACGTAAGCTGTACACTTACCCACAAGCATGCTCTCTATTGTGCCACCAGTTTCTTGGACACTGTGACATTAAATAATGTTCCGGAAATATTTATTCACATTTTGTCAGAGAACATATGTCTACCCTCCCGAGAACTAGTTTTAGAGATCAAACAATCTGGAACATACACATGTAGAGCTGAACCAACTCATGCACTCAGCTGTATCGGCGGTTTAATGATGTTTTTAATGTTGTGACATTAAAGAAAAAGTGCATGAAATGTATTTGCATTACACCATGTCTGAGCATACCGTACAATCGGTATATGTACACTCCAAAGAACTAGTTTGAGACACTAAACAGTCTGAAACATACCAGTATCATTGAACCCACTGCAGTTTAAAGAATGGTGTGACATTAAAATGTGCTAGAAATGTTCGGTTGCAACTGTGTCAACATATGCCAGTACATGTACATGTCTGAGACTACAACGTTCCTAATAACCAGTTTTAGAAACTGAGACACAAGTACAGTATTGTTCGAAATTATCTGAACTCCTGCGTGAATCACGCGGGCCCCAAAATAACAATTTTTAGTAGCTAGGTTTTCATGCTGGGGGGGGGGGCGTGATTTTTGCGCTGTCCACACGCGGCCCGCGTGGACATCCTTTTCTTTAAAACATCTCCACGGCGGTCGCCGTGTGATTTGCGCGCTATCCACGCGTGGCTTGCGTGGACATTACGGTATAGGACACGTACGGTATAGGACGCCTGCTCCAATTTCCTCAGCTAGCCCTACATGTACATCCCGTAAATACCAGTAACATGTAACCTACGTCAGTGCATGAAAAAATTATTTACAAGTGAGGGTATTTACGGCTTAATAATGTTCAGTTTCATGTTAAATTGTCACCATTTCATCCTTATAATAAAAGCACAATTTAGTTTGTTTACCGCTAATCATCACCGTTCACACACCACCGCTATTTAAAGTTAACCACTTTACACAACGGCGATCTTGACACTCCACTAGAAGTACTGTAAGCCTACACATACGTTCATGAAAAATGGACTGACTTGATCATGTACATGTATGTAACATGTGCAGGTGAATCGTGGATATCTATCTTTGGGATTCAGTTCAATTATCCCAAACTATCAATATTTTCTTGGAAGGATGATCAGATGAAGTACCGCCTGTTTTGTCTGGGCGATGTAAGGTCACTGAAGGTGCATATCTTACGATGTCAATACCGTCCGAATGGGCGTCAATACCATCCGAACGGGCGTCAACATCATCCGAACAGGCGGTAATTGGGCAAATGGTGTCATTAAATAGCATGAAATTTGCACGGTAAAATCCAGTTATGTCTGTCAAATTCATATACTGAGCACGACTTGAACACGTACATGCCCTTAAATTACCGCAATACCAAGTTTGATTTGAGTTTGATTTTCTGCAGATCCATATATCTTTGACGACATGAATATTGTTTCATAATTTTCTTTCATAAAATATATGAATACTTTTCATTTCCTTAGATGATCATTGTTTCCGAATATTGTTGATTTCCAATGTGATTCTTCCATCAAGTTAGCTTCCACACGGCCATGATTGCAGACTATTTTATTTGACAGTTCCACGTGCAGATAGTGCGGTCTTGTTTTCCTTCAACTCTCACGGCTTACACGTATTCTCACGCGTGGACTTCCACCGTTGTTCACTCTGCATGCAGGATGGGTGAGCTTCAGTTCGTTTATGTGTAGTACGATGTCCGGGCTACCCTGAGTCTGAGAGCAGCTTGCTTTTTTGCCACATAATTTCAAGTTCAAGCTTTGAAAGGGACGACAATTTCTCAAGCAATACTGTGTTACTGTCACAGTAATTTTCATTGCAGAAAGAAAATTTGTCATTAAAACTATACAATAGAATTGAACAAGCTGAAGTAAATCATTCAAGAATTTTGGCAGAAGTGCATTAGGATATGAAGTGCAGGATTGTAAATGGGAAATGAAAGTGGTCAACCTACAATGTTATTTTTCCCAAATTGAAAAATTCATCTTCAGTTTTCACAATCGGGATTTTTTTTCAGGAATATAAAAATTTGCCATTTGCTCAAATTTTTTTTTTGCAGTTTTTGGCAATGCAAAGATTTTCTTGATTTTACTTTTTTAATTTACGGCATGAGATCAATTCAACTTTTTTATCAAGCAAAGTTTGGTACTTTCTCACTAAAAATATTGTTCCTATTTTCATGTTCAGCTGAAGCGGCCTTAAATGTTTTCTTTCATGTTATTCGCATTAACATGACTAACATTGTAACCTACCACTGCCATTACAAATTTCCATTTCCCCCTTCCTGCCACGTTACATGAATTTTAAATAATTCATATTTTCTTCTCATTTCATAATTGTAATTCCAAATTTAACCAAAAAAAAATCAGAGTATCATAATAAAGGTTTACTAATTCTTTGTGTTAGTTAAAGTCCCACTCAACCACCTGCTGAAAATTTGACATCTTCGTGGTTTTGGTAAGGATCGCAAACTAAGCAAAGGTGTCAAAGGACCATGTGAGACTTAACCCAAACCCAACGAACACAAAAGTCCAAAACTACTCAAGCAGTGCACTCACTGAAAAAGCAAAAGAAAATCACATCTTAAAATTTGATGACCATATTTGTGGAAAGTACATGTATGTTTCAATGAATATTTCTTTCATGCTCAGAACAAGGCTTTAACAGTATTTCACAAATTCACATGACTGCTGTAAGGACTTTTTATTTTAGGACTGAACCGACAATCAGCAGTTTATTGAACATTCTAACACAAAACAAATGTGCTGGGAAAGCTCATTTGCATTACACCTGTGCCCCACATACATGAACATGTATGTGTAAGCTCATTCAACTCATGGAAATGACCTACATGTTAGTAACACAGAATTCTTCACCTCAAAATTCT